GTGGGTCGGCAGACGGGCGGTCGGTCGGTCGGTCGGTCGGTCGGTCGGTCGGTCGGTCGGTCGGTCGGTCGGTCGGTCGGTCGGTCGGTCGGTCGGTCGGTCGGTCGGTCGGTCGGTTGGACGGGCGGTTGGTCGGTCGGTCTGTCGGTCGTACGTTCGTCTCACGTACAGGCTACCGTCTCGCTATAATCGTTCCATCGGGGAATTTCTCGCTATTTTCGTTTCAGCTATTCCAGCCGACGCTCTGAGCCGACGTTACACGTGGCGTCCGTCGTCGTCTGTTGCGTCACGTCGTGTTACCACGGCAGCGTGATCTGCAATGACGCGAGACGTCGCCATGGGAACGTCGTCGTCGCGTGACGTCAAGTCTGGGCGGGCTTATATATACGGTAACTAGTGATTCCTTGGCTGTGAGCGGTAACAGTGCGAATAAAACATTCATTCAGTTGCGGGTAGAAATAGTTAATTCTGAATAATAATGCTGAATCCTAAGTTTTATTGTAACGGTACATTCGTCTAAATTTAACAATGATTTGCATACAACGTCTACGGTACGCTACGGTACGGTACGGTACGGATTTGCATACAACGTCTACGGTTCCATGGCATCGTATTCATTCTAGAGGGGGGGGGGGTGTAATAATTTAAGTGCAATATTCACAGTTACATTGTTATTTGATTAATTTGAATATAAAGTTCATAGTTACAATATATTTGTGCCGATGGAGGTCTAGTTTGAGTGTAACATTTAGAGTCACATTAAATTACGTCTTAGGGAAGAATAATCTGAATGTAACAGACACAGTTACACTGAATTCAATCTCAAGAGAAACTAATTTTAATCTAACACCTAATTAGTTACAATGTAATACCCACAGTCACAGTGTGTTTATTCACCGTGATGACTAGATTCAGCGTCACGACATTCCTCTCGTCAGTCAATAATAGTTTCAATGCATCAGTTACAGTTACAGTTACAGTTACAGTTACACGGCATTTTCGCTCGAGTAGCAGTAATGCTCAGAACGCAGCAGCGTGCATATTAATCTCGCAATCACGTTTTTCTTACGTCATCGCCATCAATAAAGTGTTTGCTATCGTCTGCGTTGATCGTTCTCCGCGAAACGTCGGCAGTGAGGCGGGCAAGCTCGCAGGAGTTTACAAAACACGACTCCGCCGGGATGCCGCCCTCGCCGTAACGGTGCCGCCTTATCAAAATAATCACCCTTTCTTACAGCTCGTCACAACACAGCCAGCTGCGCCCACGGAGAAGGGGAGGGGAGAGGGAGGGGGAGAGGGAGAGAACACGCACGCTGCACATACAGTAGTAAAGCTGTAACACCACATGAAGTCAATATGCGAAACTCCGGAAAAAATCGGGCCGACACATTTGCCTACTTCGCTGTATACTATACACCCATACTACACGGTCAGCCCAGAAGGTGCGCATATGGACGTTTACATACGATGTTCCCTCCCGCACATACACTACATCTATCTCCTCACTCTCGTCTTCAGTAGATGGGAGGGGGGGGGAGCAAACGACTCAACGCGAAGCGGGCGGAAGCAGGTGCATTATGGCTTCACCGCGTAGGTAGCACATTACGGACAGCATCGCGTATCAACTAATGCTGACAGCGTGTGATAAAAACATCGTGTAGCTATATCGCGTTCATCCAAGTATAATTGGTTACGTACACGGGTTTTTTCTGCACGCAATGGCTTTACACGGAGTAACAACAACGAATGGATGTACATGCTTTCAGCTCATGGGTCTTAGGTTACGTCTCTAACGCGCGTGTTTTAGGCTTCAATATCTGAGACTCGCGTTGTACGATACACATCTTTCAGCGCATCGTCATCATCGTCGTCGTTAGGATGGATTAGGTTCAGATTAGGTTGTTAGATTAATGCTATAGCCCTTATTATAGAGACCTTCTGCGTCCACGCGAGTAATGAGGACACAGAGATACGTAATCGCCTTGTAACTATATCACGTACGATGTGTCATAATCATAGATAAACAATCTTCCAAGGCGGGCATCTCGCGTGGAACTATACGTTAGCTTTGATTTCGTCTTGGATTTTTACGCTAGATTTTGTGACTTACCGATTCTGACTTGTTGTTTCTGACGGCCGCTGGAGCAAGGGATGCTGAGGAAGACGCTGAGAAACACTAAAAACGTCGACGTCATCTTCACATTCCTCATCCTGATGCGCTGATGGCTGGCCGACCGACCGACGACACGAACACGCAGACACACGCGTATATCAATCCCAGACAGACACACACGCGTATATATCAGTCTCAGACACACACACACTGATATCAGTCGTGTTGTGTCGCCAACAATAAGGACTAAACTCACGAAGAATCGAAGCCTGTAATCCCAGCACGTCGTTAGAGATTGCGTCTCAGCGATGCTGCGAGATGGCGAGAGAGAGAGAGAGAGAGAGAGAGAGAGAGAGAGAGAGAGAGAGGATAACGTTGCCGGATGTGCGCTTCACGCCACTATTGAATCAGTAGCATGCAGAGCGGCTCTCATCTCTCTCGCACACGCTCTCTCTCTTCCTCTCTCTCTCTCTCTCTCTCTCTCTCTCTCTCTCTCTCTCTCTCTCTCTCTCTCTCTCTCTTCCTCTATTTCTCTTCCTCTCCCTCTCTCTTCCGCTCTCTCTCTTCCTCGCCCTTTCTCTTCCGCTCTCTCTCTCTTTCTCTCTCTCCTCGCCTCTCTTTCTTCCCCTCTCTCTCTCTCTCTTCCTCTCTCTCTCTCTCTCTTCCTATCTCGCCTATCTCTCTGCCCGCCTTTCTCTCTCTCGCTCTCTCTTCCTCTCTCTCCTTCTCTCTCTCTCTCTCTCTCTCTCGCTTCCGCTCTCTCTCTTTCTCTCCCTCCTCGCCTCTCTTTCTTCCTCTCGCCTCTCTCTCTCTCGCCCACTGCGTGAACGGATGCTGCTGCTCCGAAGAGGAGGAAGCCCAAGGTATCGTGTTCGCTGATGCACTAATTGCCTCTCTGGCGCAGCGATGTAGAGATACTAGCGTGGCCCGAGCCTCGACGCGTGTGTGTACCAGCGTCGTCACTGATGCTCCCAGCTGATGCTCTCAAACATGGAAGCTCAGAAAACGCGGGTGACCTAAAGCGTCTTAAGACGTCAACGCGAGATCCTGACCGATGCGCTGGTATCCACGATGATTCTACCCTGCGTGCGCGGATGCCGGTGCGTGCGGTGGGCGGGATCGCTGTACATGCGCGAGCATGAGCAGGGTAATGCATCGCCCCGCGGGGGATGCACATTGAAGGCTGTTGATGAAGATGCTGCGGATTGTACGCTATTGTACGCTTAACTCGTTTATTGAGTTGCTGAGGAGGAGGAAGAGGAGGAGGAGAAGAAGAAGAAGAAGAAGAAGAAGGAGGAGGAGGAGGAGGAGGAGGAGGAGGAAGATGAGGAGGCGAAATAGGAGGCGAGGGGAAATCGTGTGCATGTGTAGCAGCACGCAATATATCCGGTGTCTGGAGATTGCAGGCTAATTAATAATCACACTAACGGTTTGATATATTATCCCGTTACTGAATGAAATGTACCGACACTCATAACGATAGACATTCACACACGCATGTGCACACATTATCCCACCACACACGCACATGCACACACACACAACACAAGCACACACAACACACAGTCGTCACACACACATCATAAGAAACGGCGCCACACAACTCCAGCCCACACCACACAACACACACACACACACACACAACAGCCACACACAATCCACAGCACCGCACAACACACGCGCACACAGCACAGCAGCAACAGGCACATCAGGTCACATCAAACCACACAAACACACATACAGCACGCCAGCACGCACACAAATGAAACACAAAACCACAATATACAGCACGGCACGGCACGCGACACCAAATGCAACACCAGAACACATATACGCAGCACGCACGCACGCACAACAAATGCAAACGACAAACACGATATAACCAGCACGCACGCAACGCACACAATGCAACACAAACACAATATACCAGGCACGCACGCACAGCAACACATGGCAAACGCAACATATATACCGAGCACGCACGGACTGCACGACAAATCAAACATCAAACACAATATATCCAGCAGCACGCACGTCACACAAATGCGAACACAGAACACATATACAGCACTAGCACGCACGCACACAAATGCAAACACAAACGCCAGCGAACGCACGCAAGCACGCACGCACGATGCCTGCCATGCACACACGGTCACTACACCACACACCAACATACACGCCCGCCGTTCCCCATTCTGTAATTTGCGACTTCATTCATCACACGATGACGACATATTCTCAATCTCAACATTCCTGTAATCGAACTAACTAACAGCGTGCTCGATGTCAGGCAAAACACGCGCACGAATATGCAAGAGGAACATGAAATATTGAAATGCATTTACGGCGAATTTGCGATTTGCCAACTTCTATTAACCACAGCATATAATTTGCAGTCCAGCTCGTTAGTGCGTCACGGCATCGGTGTCGTCTGGCTGCAAACCAGGGCAAAACAATGGCTTCACTGCTTTAGTCCACTGCTTCTAGCGAGCGCTAGCGCACTTTCTTGAGCGATAGATGGCGTCAGCTATATTTGGTACTAAACGGCAAACGAGAGAGCGCGAGGAGTGAGAAAAGAGAGAGAGTGATGGCAATAATGTTGGCTCGCTTTGAACTGCTAACGTGGCGGGCCAGCCTGCGAGTAAAAAGAGTTTAGCGCCTACTATATGGACTAAATAGGTGGAGTCTTGTGTATATATATACGCTGTAGTATAGTCGTAGTAATCTATACTATAAAATGGGAACAGGCCATTTTTTGTTAGCCTATGTTCTCTGAATCTGCTGCCATGACTTTGAAATTCGCTTTGACTGTAAACGAGCATTACTAGACTCAATAGAGTTAATATTGGCGCACTTTTTCAACGATGAAAACATCGATAAAAGTTGAATTTGAAGCGTTTATTGTAACATGGTGTACCGATACGCATAACCGGTATATGGCGACTCGACGTCACTACCTCATTTACGCATGTAGTACCGTGTTGTTGACAGCTTTCGCGCTGTGGAGGCTGATGTTCTGGAATCTGCGTCGGCATGTTTTGAAATTGCATTTGACTAGTAAACGATGCAATCACCACTGCTACTCATAGAGTAATATTGGCGCACTTTTGCAATGATGAAACAGGTATAAAATAGGGGGGGGGGGGGCGGAGGGGGGGGGGGGTGAATTTGAAGGCCGTTTTAATTTAACACTGGCTAAAAATAGGCATACCGTGTATCGAAGCACAGGCAGCTTGTGACAGAGTCAATAAAAACTGAAAATAATATGACACACATTCACAAATAGGCGCGCTACTACCGTACCCTCTGATTATAGTTCCACTGTTGGCGCTCACCCTGTAATATCATTTCTCTTCAATAAAAACCTATGTAAAAACTAACGCCGAACGCTCCCGCACTTGCCGCTACGAGTGTGCTGTGACGCTATGATAATATATATATATATAGTCTATATATATATATATATTATCATATATATATATATATTATATCATATATAACTATCCAATAATATTTAGTCTCTTTTATGAAACTCGTCTAGAGAGATTCCACTAAAAACTAAATCTAAATATTCGAGAATGACTCTGCAATGGTACTAGACTCAAAATCCATAGACTTCACACACACGTACTTGATGCAGAAATACTCACCGGCCCTCGCAGTGGACAAAGACCACCCAGGATAATATTAGCTCCATCCGATGTCAAGCTATCATTTACACTTCAACGTCGCCAGTTCCCTATTCGCTTGGCTTACTGCATCACCATCAATAAAGCGCAAGGTCAAACTTTCAAGAAGCTGGGGATTTTTCTTCCCAAAACCCGTCTTCTCTCATGGCCAACTTTACGTTGACTTCTTACGTGCTAAATCTTTCGCTGAGATCTCTACATTCACAGCATATGCCCGCACCCGTGAGCATCACTACCATAGACTTTCACTACCACCGGCTTGGGCGGGCCTGACCACACCTGTCTTCTTCCATGGCATGCTCTATGTTGCCCTCTCACAAGTAGGCAAACCCAAGGCAATGTTCATTCACACACAGCACACGAAGACCAAAAACATACTTTACAAAGAAGCCCTTGATCCTTAGGTCAGCTACAACACTAATACACTCATTCATGAATTCCCACCGTCTGAAGGACGGGTACTTTGCTAGTATATTATACTACGTAGTACGTATATACGTACTATATATTATACGTATAGTATATATTATATTCTAATACTTATAGTAATCATTCAGTGTTTGGTAGTTTGTGTAGTCAATGGCTCTCTCTCTCTCTCTCTCTCTCTCTCTCTCTCTCTCTCTCTCTCTCTCGCTCTCTCTCTCTCTCTCTCACTCTCTGTCTTCCTTCTCTCTCTCTCTGCATCTTCCTCTCCCCTCTTTCTAACTCTCTCTTCCGTAATTTTTTTTCGCGCGCAATAAAAAAGAAATAATCCACATGTATGATCAGAAGATTAGACTGAATGCATAATTTCGTTCCATTATTTATAACATTTACTTTCGGGTTATTTACATTAAACTGTCATATATTTTATTTTCTCCAAAAACCCCTAGGGAATCTATTGTCTTCTGTTCCTAGGTGATGCTGTTTTGATTGAAAATTTTGCATAGCAAACGATTCGTGCGTATGCGCTATCTGGCGTTAATGCACAATTTCAATAAAATAGTTTTGACAGATACTGGGCATGCGCGAACACAGATCTAACTATATGGTCTGTCTGGCGGTCTGTTTGTCTGTTTGTCCGTCTGTCTGTCTGTCTGTTTGTCCGTCTGTCTGTCTGTCTGTTTGTCCGTCCGTCCGTCCGTCCGTCCGTCCGTCCGTCTGTCCGTCCGTCCGTCCGTCCGTCCGTCCGTCCGTCCGTCCGTCCGTCCGTCCGTCCGTCCATATATATTCAGGTTAGCAAGTTAGTAATGTAAATCCGTCATCTATAGAACCTATATATTCAAGTTAGCAAGTTAGTAATGTACGTTAAGTAAGTTATAACAACTACGGGCCCGTAGTTTATGATACCAGCAGGCGTGTATATTATAGATCTATAACATGGATCAATAATATAGATTTATATTATACACTCCTGATACCAGTACGTTTATATCAATTTAGCTTTCAAGTGTTGCCGGAGGTAGTTTGAATGTTTTTTTGATTCGTTAGTTACGTTGTTTGACACGTTTATTCTCTAAAAGTCGGTCGATGATGTTCATAGAATGTGACGATAGTTTGTGCTTTACAACATTTCCTATTCTCGTCTTCTCTCTTTCTCTCTTTCTCTCACACTCCCTATACATCTCTTACTCTTTCCTTCACTCGCGCCTTCTCTCTTTATCACGTTCTTTCACATTCCCTATACCTCTCTTATTCTTTCCCTCACTCTCGCCTTCTCTTTTTCTCTCTTTCTCTAACATTCCCTATACCTCTCTTACTCTTTCACTCACTCTTGCCTTCTCTCTGTTTCGCTTTCTT